CGAAGGAAAGGAGGGGTATTTCCACCGTACATAGGGAGTCTGACGGGATTTTTCGTTTCTTGTTTAGAGCAGTACATATTTTTCTTGTTGCTTTTCACACGCCCTAGGAATCTCGGAAGATGCAAAAATTACAGCGAAGGGCTCAGATCTCGAGCTAGTGTTCTCACTATGGCCGTATTACCAAGAAGATAGGTACCACATTGATCCCAAACGAAGTAGCATCGTATTATTTATTACATGGACGATTTCGTACCAAGCCGTGGTACCGTTCACAAGAAGGAATATTGTTCCAATGTTATAAATGGCTTAAGATAAGTTAACTGTTTTTTTCTCAGAAAATTCTGCAGCCAGCTTCGAAAAACTATGTTAGCTCATGTTCTATAATCCTTCGTCGGTAAGGCTTAGGTAAGGTTTAGGATGAACAGGTGAAGATCTGGCGCTTTACTTATATGTATATAAAATGCGATTTTTTCCGAGAGAAAACTATCACAGAGTTATCAAATAATTTGCTATTTATGAAACAACAATTAATAAAAACTTTAGTGCCGGTATTTGACATGGTAGGCCTTCCCTACCTGGTCAATGTTGACGCGAGCGCAGCAATATCGTCTTCCTGGATAAAACAGCATGCGAATGGTTCGAGGTACACAATCTCCAGACACTTCTGCAGATTTACTGTCCGTACCTTTCTTCGACCTTGACCTCTGGAAGTCACCAAAGAGGTGCAATTAACAATCCAACATGTAGTAAACAGTGACATGGCCTTAGATCTAGTAAGTTTATCATTGAAGCGGACGATTAACACGGGGGCCTGATGAAAACGATGCGTCCAAACAATTGTTTTTCAGGTTTCTGGGTAAAAGCGTACTAAGATTTTGGGAATACACCCAGTCCTTAGACAAATTCAAGCTGTTGTCGATGACAGATTATTGACTATCTCATTCTCTAATAAGGACAGATATAAAACGACCTTACTGTTCTGTTCTCTGAAAATTACAGAACAACTCTTCTTCAGTAAATAAGTTATCAACCCGAGTTCTTATTGTGATTTGTCCGACTCCTAAAATCGAGGACGGCATTCTTTTGAACCACGAAATGAGTACCACTTCTAGTCATATTGGGTTTTAATTGACATTAGCAGTGATATGTTACAAGACCAGCAGGAGGAGTTCGCCTGAACTGCTAGTCTTCAGTGACACGTACTCGATTTCCATCATACATTCTGTTTGGTTGAGTCTTCGTCAAAAATGTACAGTTGCATCATGCTAATGAATTGCTGGATAGCTCAGCCACAACCCTCAGCAGCCTTGCCGTAGCCTTCACAAAGGCAACCAGCTACATAGGAAGTTCCCTCGTCGCAGTCGTAATAAAAAAAAATTTAGCTTGATACTTAGGAACTATCTTAGACTAGCTCTGGTAGAAATGCTTTTAAATGAAATCGTATAATATGCAGATTTTTTCCTAAAAGACCATTCGTGCCATGCGTCCTATGGTAAATTGCAGGCCGGGTCATCAAATCTATAAGTGAGTGATTACTTGATGATCTAGTTAAATAAAGTTTACATTTATACGGTTTTTGAGATTCACTGGTTACGGCAATGGAGCTAATGTATGGAATTTCAACGTCAACTTACTTGGCTAATCTTGCTTGTTCCACAACTATGGCGTCCAAATAGGAGTTTTTCCTATAACATGCTACATGAATAGTTTCCGATTTCGACTTACTCCTTTACTATAATTATAGTTTTAATTGTTTTTTTCTAGTTTTCAGAAGTGAGCGACTAGCGAGCACCTGACGCAGCTCGAATGCCTTCAAGTTTAGCTAAAGGTAAAACAGGGATGACATATGGAGGTGAACAAAAAAATCCTAGCATCAGAAAACGATATGTATTCACCGACGTCGTAATACCGTCATAAATGGCGTATTTTAATCAACTTCACTAGTACGATGATGCCGTCATTTCCCAAGATAAGGAACTGCTGTTAACAGGATTGTCTGTGCGCCAGACGGCGCACTTGTTGACATAGGAAACATCTAACGATAACCGCTAAATACATTACGCCTAAAGACAATTTCATATAGGACATTCAGAAGAAGGAATTAGGATACCATTGACTAAATTACTGCTACTCCTCACTTAATACCATCTATTAGCTAAAAAATACTTTTTTTATTGTATGCCAGTGTTTACAATGACGCTATACAGTGTTTCAAATATAGAGTCGTCGTGTTGTCGACGGAGCACTCCTGATACGGTGAAACGCTCGGCACATCTGTTCTTTAGCCGCATCACCGACGTATAGTTCTAGGTCCGGCTAGACTGGCGCGAACTGGCTGTAAGTTAGGTCCCCGCTAGTTAGGTTAACAAGCGTAGAGTGCTTCCTGAGCTAATTAGGTTTTATGCAGATTGAGCTAAATTTAAAAATCGCTCATATATATATTTCTGGTGAAATTTGCTATCACTAGCCAAATAGAAATCCATTATTGGGCAGTCGTTTGTTGAGACCGTGCGAAATCTTAATCATCTATTCCCAAAGTAGTTCACAAAATTAAACTTGTCTTCCTATTCCAATTAGTGTTATGATTTATCATTTATAACTGTATCGTTTATCGTTGACGTGAAGGACAAACCTAATAGGATTACAGATCGCGGAAGTCAGGCTGAATGAATTAGGTAACAGGCGTCGCTATGGCTTAAGCTTTCCGCTGCGGCGTCCACTTATCTTTTTCACATACGAGTACTTCCAAACTTTCCATCCAAACTTTGATTCTTGCGGGCGGGTTTTTTTTTTTATCCTGAAAGACACCGTGTGTTTGCAACGCGTATCCGCGTAAACAGGCTATAAATCTATATCAGAGAAAATTGTATGATAATCTTACTTATATATAAGAATATTGACGAGGTGGATGTAGGTTTGTCGGATAACGAAGGAACCCCAGTTTCAAATAATACCATCCAAGGGACAGCAGTAATTAACTGTTCGATTCAGACTATAATCAGGGATTCGAATTAAGTTAGCTGTTATAATTTTCTAATATTTTTCTTTTAAAACAGCCCATGCTTTCTTTTTTTGGGGTTAATTATGCCATCTCGAAACCCATCACCTGGCAGCAAAGTAGGATGATTATGAATCAATTTGTTATAGAATGTAGTATTACTATGGAAGGTGGCTGGTGCATCTTTTTTTCTTGGCCATTTATATATTAGATCTCAGTCTGCTTACGTCTAGCTTGAGGCGAGCGACCAAATTGCAGGAATGTTTTCTCAGGTCTTCGATACATCGTAATGAAATTTACATTAATAGTTTTATTATATGAAATTTAATTTTAATTTTGTCTGCTTCGTCGTCCGATCTAAACTGAATAGGATTCTTTTTTCGATTAGGGTTCGCACAGCCTCTTACAGCAAGGAAAAGTTTAAATTAAACTGTGGTAAGTTGCCCTCGCGTTTTTTGGCTCAGAAGATTGCGTTTATTAATGCTCGTTATATATGGAACGAGTCGCATAATTACTGTTCATACCCTGTCACAACTGTCAGCCACGTACATGACAAAATTGCCAATATTTTCTGGGTCAACTATATTCAAGAGGTACCGAAGCAAAGCAAAGGCTACGGCCAGCCCCTGGGCGGTCGAAGTAAAAGAACAAATGGTTACGTGTGGAAAAATCTCTGGAAACGCAATCTGTTTACATGCAGTGTCTTTGAAGGGTGGCGACTTCTACTATACAAAGGAAGCAGTTCTTTACTTGTTGAGTCTAAACAGTCATTTTGGACGGCCAAGGTCGCATCTTTTGTACTCGAGGCCCACACGCATACCTCCTGAAACACAGGACTCCGCAATTGATTGTTTTCCAAGGAAGCTGGGTCAAATTATGCCAGCATTGCGACCTATAATCAGTTTATAATCGGCTGTCTTATATAATCTCCGTCGCGTCGCCCATGGCGAATTACAGCCTTGTTGATGGTCTGTGGCCGTCGCGATTTTACAGAAAGATTTTGGTAAACGACCAACTGGAGGGAAAAAGAATCTCGTGGCAGCCTACATGAACAAAACTGTAGTCACGCTTGTAAATGACGCGAAGTTTCAGAGAGAGGGTACTCAGTAGCATTGATTAGCCCTGCTTTTTCTACGACTATAATACTACGACTAGTATTCCTCTTTGTGCTATAGATAGCATGCACCTCATTGAGGTACATGGGCCATATCACAGATTGCCTCTATAGCCTGTGCTAACAAATCAGAACGCAAACTGGTCGAACGAATTTTCCCTAGCTGTTCACCTACCTACACCTATTGGGAGAATCTAGCGGTTTCTTTTTGGTGCATTTCTGAACACACCACTGGATTATGAGCTAACTAATACAAAAGAATATAACGCGCACTTCGTAGATGTCCAATAGAAACACCAATTGCCATGTGGCAAGCACTCTTTTTCATCCATTTTCGTAAACAAACCACTTAAAAATGAGGCACGTATCTTGAGTGAAGAAAATTCATACTCCAATTGTGGTTATCACTACAAGAACTATTAGCGGTAGTAACAGAATAAATCATTATTAAGCCTATAGATAGACAGCTGTGGTTGAATGGTGCGAACGACTCAATGAGCAAAAAAACGGACAAAAACAGTAGGCATGTATCAGTATATTCTTTGAAACGTAGTTTTATGCTTTATTGATTATGTCCTCGTAGCTTGCTTCTCGTTGTCCTTGTTGATAGCCGTTATCATCTGTGTATTGGATTCCTTATTTCCTAAATCCTTGCTTTTGCTTTATATAGCTTTTTCTATTTGCAGCTCGTCAATTGTGATCGTCGTTTCGCTAATCGTCTGCATTTATTTCCTTCTTAATCTGATACATACTTCTGTGTTATCGCGTAACGCCGCTCCTTCCGTCGGCGACTGTGTAGCTATCGAAAACCTCATTCTCTCTGTATTTATTTACCCCTTGCTTACCTACTTTCTTATACCTCTTCTTCGCTTAATTTTCTCTTGCACACTTACTTTATATATATATATATATATATATATATATATATATATATATATATATATATGTACAGCCTTATACCACTACATTGTCGTTGGAGCTTCTGTCGCGTCCTGCTCATCGCCCTTAGCCTGCGAACCTATCAGGCGCAGCATCAATTCGAATATGATTGCATAACGACGACATTGATACACGACAGGGTGCATTGAGTGGAGTCAGACATAGCCACTCCCAATATATCGACGGTAGTCACTCGATGTAATTTAGCGTCGTTTTTCCTCATGAGTTTTGTCCACCCAAATGCGATGTTGTTTTATATACAGATAGCGGAGGCCGTCTCGCCTAAGCTTCAGGGCGATTGGGTATCTTCGCTTAATTTATGATATAAATAAAACATAACTACCCATACGCTGACATACACAGACATATGGTTATTACTGGCACAAGTTACTCGTTGATAATTTCAGTCTCGCCTAAACGAAATATACCAAATATGCTATCTCCATCTGCTGCTTTAGTTATTATTACGTTAATTGTTTTTGCAGAGAGGTTTTTCTCTGCTGGCACTTTGTGAATAGTTACGTGTCTAGAAGTTGTCCGGGTAAGTTCGGACAAGGAACATACATACATCCATCATATTACAATATTACCATGATGATACACTAACTAATATTTATATACGGACAGCTGTTGTATTGGCCAATGTAGAACAAAATACGCTCGGTCAATAAGATTGCTCAAAATTAAACCTTCCCTAGTCATCATAATCGACAGATAAGGCAGATATAAGGTTGTCAGGTTCAATTTACGTTGCGGTCTTGCTGTCGTTGCTGTGCCGAGTAACGTTTGACACTTCAGGTAGTACCTCGGTTCTCACTATCTCTCCCCCTCGCTCTATATATATATATATATATATATATGGGTGTTCGTGTTCTATTTGAATGTGGGTTGTTCAATATTGTTTTTCATTATGCTAAGCAAACGCCTGGCCATTTTCTGTAGCAGGACTGGTTAGTTTCTGCGAGTGCGGAATCTGTGAGTAAACCATAGGGAGTTCGATGCACACCCTGGAGACTTTTATCGATCTTTCGATTCAATACGACAATACACGGGATATGGTGGCAACTATATTGTGTTGAGCCATATTTAATATGTGCTATTAGTTTGCAGGAGAGTATATAGTTATGTACAGACTGTTTTGCTTACTCTATTTTAGGTTTGTAAAACGGTGATCTCTTCTGTGTGTCTTTTAACCTATAATAGATTTGTACCGCGATATTGTGTGCAAAGACTCACTAGGATGTTGTTTATCCGGCGATGATAAGCGGCAAGGTGAAAGCGTGATCAGCCGCCCGTCTAGAAGGCCAGATCTACGAAAAATGGATAATGGTAAAAACGTCGAAACGTCTTTTTCACCGCCCGTACCGTATACCAAGCCAGTATTGCTACGTTTCCTCTAGCTCAACGTGCATTTAATCGTACATTGCAAATATTCGCGATGGAATTGGACGGGCGAATTGATCACTTCCATCCAATCTACCTGGATCTTGTACAGCATATTGTTGGGGAACGGTGGCATTTCGCTCCTGTCGATGACTAGATACGATAGCCGATGTTGCCGGAATCCGCGAAGAGCCTCCAATAGTGTCACCGTATCGTGTATGTTACGACACATGCCCAAAGTTTCGGTTGAATCATCGAACTCATCGTAGTGCTGTTGATGACAGATAGAACAAACAAAAAAAAAAAACAGAGATAATGTTTGCTGACTATTATTGGAACAGAATTCCTCAAAGCTTTACACAGCCGTCTTTGTTAAATCCATATTTTACTGATAACAATTGAAGTAGAACGTTAGTCCAGTTATTATGTATAAGACGTGGAAGAGACATCCCGTCTACCGTTAATTTTCCTATTAGTTGCGAACCTGACTATGACTAGAAGTCGTTACTGTGCGGCCAAAACAAGCGAGAGACAAAACAGAAACAGAACGCAATAGAACACTACGTTAGAGCCGCAATGATCGTACGGCTGTGGTGCTAACCGTATTTCCCTACAGGCGAAGAAGAATCTCTGTATGTTAAAGACAATGATGAATTTCAATGACTATAGGAGTCGGGTCCCACAGGCGTAAAAAAGGGACAGGGAAGTTTGGGTTCCGGTGAAGAATGTTGCTAGGCATGCATGTCCAACATCAGCCTAAAAGATGACCGTTTAATTAAAAAAACCCAGTCTTCAAGCGCATTGAAAAAAAGTGGCCTTTTTTTGAGGGAAAAGCTAGAGTGGGTCGTTCGATCAAGCGCAGCCGCTGCAGATGTTCGTCCTCCCCAAACGCTTCCTTCCCCGATCCGGTCACCGACAAATGCTGATAGTCAAACAAACGTTCCGGGGAAGTAACTCGAGATTCTTTTCTCATCAATTTTTTCCGAGTGGAAGTCTATTGTAAAAGAGCAAGGCCACACGGTATTTCCCGAAAACCTTTCTTTCGTTTTACTTCGTTCGTTCCCTCTCTGTTTCTCTGCCCTACAAAAGCTTCTCCTGTCCCGGTCCGCTTCGCTACTGTCCATGGTCCAACACCTAACCTTGGCTGCATTCCACTAGAATTACAATAATGCACTCTGGTTTCTTTTTGGAAGAAAAAAAACGTAATTGTGCGGGAACTCACTACCCTGCACGAGTAGAAGCAAATTGGAGCCGAGCGTCAGTGGAGAACAGCCGAAAGAAAAACGTTCGTTGTGCTAACACAAAGCTGTGTTTCTAATGGTCCTTAGTGTATCCAGGGCCAATGGCCAGGAAGACGCTACGTCTCTTTCTCCCTCTGGCCCTTAGATGCCGCCAAAGAGTTTTTGTGCGCACAATAATACCGCACAGAGATTTAAAATGCTTAAAAGCGCTGTCTGGCTAGGGCTGGTAAAAACACGTGGCACGTATGTGATGGACATGAAAAGATACTTGAACCCGTTCTGGTTCGACCTCGTCAGGTCATGTGAACATTCCCATAGAACTGGTTTTCTTAGAAGGTCATCTTTACTACGATTTTACTTGGCCTTCTGATCACACTCATTGCAGGACTCCGGAACTGTTTAGAACCAAACTAAACAAGCAAAACTGGGCCCAGTTACTGAAAAAGATTAAAGGTGTCCAAGATGCAACTCAAAGTTGTGCATTAACCTGAAATTATTTTCCGTCATCGCTGTTTTTTTCTGTTTCGGTCAATGGTAGAGCTATGCCAGTTCGTTTGAATATACTCTAGTAGTCGTCGTCGTCTGATGGCCAGGGCGCATAATTGTGATGCAGTCACTCTGAATTTGTGATCGAGAAGGCACAATTGCTTCTTGCGCGCGATGGAAGACCCGTGAACAATAGGAGGACCGAAGTCGACGCCGTTGGTGGGATGCTCCAGTTTAACCCTGGGTTTTTTCCGTACCCTGTACTATTCAGCAACTTGTGTATGCGAGAGACATCTTGGAACAGGTACCCTATTCGTCTCTTCTAGTCGAGCGCTATGCTTGAAAGCAAAATTGCAATAAAGTATTTTTAGAAGTCACCTTCAGCGTATCTTAGACAAACACTAATTGGAGCGAGCACGCCAATAGGTTGAACGAGCGGGGGGCTCAGGCCACTTGAAACCTAGAGACGGAAGTATGGCTTGCCTGTCACTATAGTTAAATAGCAATAATCTTCCTCTACCTACCTACGAGAGCTAACGGATCAGCCACTTTCGATAATTCACCTTCGCAGCTGGTGCTGAGCTCTACTGCACTGGTCCTTCAGATATAGTCCTATTTAAACCAATTATTATTATTATTATGTCATTGTTTTATTGATAGCTTAGAAAGTATCGTAGCAAAAGGCGATCATCTAAAGAGAGAATTTCATTTGTATTCAATTATGCACTATCAGCTGGAACCAGAAAGTGCCCATGGAATTCCTACAGCATATTACTATGTATTCAGATTAGTTTACCTCAGCATAATGTGTGGAATACGATGTTTGAGCTCCGCAACAGTAACGATATGAGTGACCCTCTTGGAGAAATATTCAAAAATATTTATGCGTTATCTATTGATACTTCGACACAATCGGGGATCCACTGTTGACTCAAAGCTCAAGATAATATTTTGATTTATAATCATGTCGAAACTCGCTTCGTTAGTGAAGTAATCTGACGTCGCAGTTAGACACAACAATATACAATAATCACCGTATTGCTTGATGATAGCTAGGACAAAAAAAATGCTTATCAGCTACTCCGTTACCTGATTGTATTTATAAGAAATGCCCAATCATAACCGTCATAATCACCTTTGTCGTCTTATCTAATATACAATAATAGGCCGAAAGCGAAGTTCTTTCAGCCTCTGCAACGTCTGAGGCCGCTTTTTTTTGTGTAACGACGACGGGCGCGTAGTAGTGGTCCAGTGGCTTAGGTAGATACAGTTGACTTCCGATGTCCTCTCTTACTGCAGCTGTACCCGCCAGCGTGCCTAAAACCCTGTAGAAGTTATTACCATAGTTGCCTGCCGCGGTAGTAAAAACGGACCCATTCATCGGCATCTCGTATGTGGTGACTGGCTATAATGAACGAGCAGTAGGCAGCCGAGCAGCGGACGGTTGCGGTCGCGGCGATCCCGGCCGACATTCTAGCCGCGTCAGCGGCATCGGCCGCCACTGCCCAGCGCTGTGGCCAATGAAAGCAATAGCGGCTGCTGCGGAAGTAATACGACTAACGGCGCTAGCTAGTAATGATACGATCGTTCATAAAGCAACATTCAACCGTTCAAGAACTTCTCTCTCTCGCGATCTTACCCCATTGCTCCTAACCTCTGTCTTCCATTCTTTCGGACTGCCACTTCGTCGCTCGTCTTTTCCGTCTGGTCTTCCTTGCGCTATCTGTTTCTCGGCCGAACTCTCACTCATTGCCTCGATGACTCGCTCGCTGGTTTTTCTTCCCCGTCTCCCATCCAATCGCCAGCCAACGTGAGCTCTACACGCCTACTACTGTGACTGCTGTCGCCTTCTTTTTATTGTATTGTTACTACTCCAGCAGTATTTCTATCGCAATCAACAAGTACGTCGGAAATCGGCGGCTTTTTGCGCCGACCGGCTCGGCGACGATAGCGTTATGGGATGATGGCACTATACCGAAATGAGTACAGTAGAGGCGCTGCTTTGGACCACCCCTCTTTCTCCTCCCGTCTGAGTGGACACCATGAGCAGGAGCAGCTGTCGAGGTGCTAGTGTGGCCACGAGGGTAAACGCGGACGCGCCGCCTCCGTCCAAGACAAAAGGAAGACATTGGCGGAAGCGGTATTAATAGTAAATTCCGCAGCAGTAAGTAGCTTTTGATATCTCTCCCCTCATTTTTTTAAAAAGTATTTCCTCTTCCTGCCACGCGTACGGCCTCACACTTTTACGTGCTTAACTTTATCGAGACGTCGTCTACGCTTATTTCACTTTGAGTGGCCAGTCAACCTAGCCTGGTTTCATTCTCAATTAGAGTAGCTGGCAGCTCCAACAACGCACTGCTATATTGCTGCGTACGTTGTTGCTGCTGCTGCCGCTACCGCCATCGGATGGTCTTTTTTTGCTTTGCCGATGTCTACTACTGTCTTTGATAAGTGGGCAAAAGTTAAACAATCTTTGCCAGGACAATACCCTAATTGTAGTCAAGTTGCAGTAGAGCTCCGACTTTACATAAGAATTCAAAGCATCGTGGGTCGAGTCGTCTCGCACGAATGCGCAGACAGCTAAACTTCTTATAGCTCCTCTGTTGACCCCTGAAATTTCGCAGATACCCTGAGGCTTTTTCATTTTACCCGTGCCTTTGAGCGCGGTTTCCACCGACACCGTCGAGCGTCTACGCTTTCTTACCATAACCATGATTAGGCGTCAGACACAACACGCAAGCCTTGAAAGCTGGTCAGTATAAGGTAGCGTTGTAGATAGAGAGGCGATGCGTCCGTCTCCCTAGCGGCATAGCGTTCCTGTCCTTTCCGCACCCTGCTGCTTCGAGGGCGGCCTTGTACAGTAATAGCCCCCATCTCCCTCCCGACACATGAGTTGCTCTTTCCACAATACGGCAACGGATTACAGATTACGTATATGTGAAAATATGTAGGATATGTGGCAGGAAGGACAATAGAATGGCCGATTTACCTCGGTACAGGTACACGGATGAATCTGGTCTTTTGGTGGACAGGCCAGTATGTACTTTTCCATATCCTCTGTTGAAGTTTCGGCGCCCGCCAGTGCCACGACAGGGTTCATTGTCGGCGATGAATCTTGTCTATCGTCTGGCATAACAGCTGCTGTAACAAATCGCGTAACAGATCAAAAAGTTGTGTACGTGTCGTTAACTGCGTTGCTTATGTCAACTTAGTTGTTGGAGCGTGTTAGCATAGTAACATTGAGAAACTTGTCCTATAAGTTAGAAAATGAAGGCGGTGTTGTTAAATTCTATTCGGCTATTAAAAATAACTGCGCATAAAATGAAATAGTGTCATCAAGATCACAAATATTGATTTTTAACAAAGTTGTCATACCCGTAAAACTACAAGCTTCTTCTTGTTGTGATCACATATCTCGCATTAAGGAAGAACCGGCTGAATGTGCACTACGAACACATACTACTATTAAAGCTGACTGAAAAGCACTAAACTCGTTTGATTTGGATCCAGATTTTACGATTAGTTATTATTGTTGCTGTGATCAGCAGTACCTGGTCTTCTAGTCGTCGTCGTTGTTGTTGTTGTTGTTGTCGTTGTTGTAGTCGTCGTAGTCGACGCGGTTAACGTCGTTGTCGGAGCTAAAGTACCAGAAGCGGCACCTCGTTGCATAGGGTATGGTTTTCGGTATTTGTCCTCAATCTCGACAATTGCTGGCTTCGTGTTACTGTTGACCTGTGGGAATAGGTCACTGTCCACATCTTCCACCTTTAAGGATTCAGTCGAGCTTGCCGTCGCAGCCATCTGATGCTAATTTAATAGAAGAGTAATTTAACAGACAACCAAAACAACAGCACATATATGTTAAGCACCAAACATGAACAGCAACCTTTCTGCTCTCTCAAACCGCGGAACATTATTAGTTGTAGCTGTAAATTAAATTTAAGGATATCTGAAATGGTCTAGGTTTGAAACCGGGCGTAGACACATTTCGTTTTATAGCGGGCACTAACGGCTTGAGCTAAAACCTAATGGCAGTACAGAACGTTAAAACTCAAATTCATCCCGTTCAGCCGCACTTGACAAGTTGCTTGGTACTCACCTTCGTATCGACGGCGGGTTCTGTTACGGCAGGCAGGATAAAGCTGACCTGTACGTCTTTGGCACCGAGTGGTTTGAGGTCCTTACGGATAATGGAGTTTTCGTTCGGTGGATTCTGGATAACTGGTGCCATAATCGGACGATCATCAATTGGCTTTCTCGACGGTATGCCAGTGTCACCGCCACCCACCGTTGCTTCAGCGAGAATCGGTGATATAATCACTGCCTCGGAACTTGTCTCCGGGCGTGGCGGAACGCGTGTCTCCGATGCTTTGACAACATCCCTTTCGTCGATCAATTCCGTTGGATCCTCGTAATAATCGTCTGTATTCTGCTCCGTTGTAGTTGCTGAAATCGTGGTACTGGCTACGGTTGTTGAAGCTGTCGATGGCAATGACGAAGAAGTAAGCGATGCCGGTGTCGAGCTCGAGACCGACTGAGATGACATCACCGTTGTCGTGGTTAGACTTCCTTTAGGAACAGTCCTAACGAAAATAAACTTGTCCTTGCTTCCGGCAGCCGTTTCCTTGATAATTCCAGATGTGTTCATAATCTTCGATGTTCGAGGATGGTTCGTTCCTGTGAGGTCTTCAGTTCTTGAGGCAGATCTGCTCGATGCCTCTTCATCGAGGTCTATTGGCCTCTGTTGTCGTTGCTTCGGATTTTCTTTGCCGGCCTCGACTGTCAGTCGTTCCCTCTGTCGGCCTCCGCTGCCGTTATGCACCCGAGCTCGAAGGCGCATCAGCTCGATCGAATGATAATCGTGATCTGCCGCATCGGTGCGATGTGGTTCTGACGTCGTCATACGTGGAATCACAATCGGCTGATTGTATGACAGAGGAAATCAAATTAACGAAGTAGAAAACAACTACAGAATCCGGTTTACTAGCTAAAGGTATGATGAACGCAATTAAATCGAGTGTCAAGTAAGCTCAGAGCTAGTTAGCCATGCAATAAGTTTATATTTGTTGTTATAATAATACTGCTCCAGGAAGTTATGAAGCTCTAGGGAAGATACTGAGAGCATATTTACCATACTGGTGAACACTGCTATTGTGCTATTATTACTATCGGCTTTCTCATTCATGGCTCCGAACTGCTGCGGCAGAATCTGGGCGTTTTGATGGAAACGGCGACTTTCTTGCGCTGCGTAATTATCCTCAAGCATTTTGCTAATAACTCGCGCTACCTCGAGCACTCCCTCTGGCTGATGTTTCTCCGTATCACTGTTACCATTGGTATGAACCCGATCGACACGCTTATCGTGCCTTGATGACTCGGAATGCCTTAAAAAACAATTTTCGAAATAATTTATTTTACTGTATATATATAGGACGAAATAGAGAAACCCCAGTCCGTCTATAACATTTTTCAGATTTAAATCTGCAACAATGAGCAGCATTCACTGAACATAGTCAAAACACGAATAATATATCTATATATATAATTGAAAATATAGGAAAAAAACAGCTCCTTTTTCAAGTTCCGTTCTCAAAGTAGAACAAATGTATGCCTACGTATTTATTGTAGATGGAGGAGTGAAACGAAGGCCTGTTTGTGTCGACTTCAAACGTTTTTGTCAAAGGTCTCGAATCTAAACTGGCTTTCGTACAACTTTCCAGTGAACTGATTAAAATGTAGGGAAATGCATTAAGTGAGCCTATCATTATTTTACGAACTATTGGGTATTTGAATTACCGCTTTGACAATTTCACCGGGCCAAGCACCGTAGCTGAATGTGTGTACAGACGTACTAATAATGCGCATCCATCGCTTAAAATCTACTTGGATAAATTCTCAGTTAGGATAGTCATGCGCCTCAAAACTAAAGCTGAACAAAGGTAATGCGGTCAGTAACATTACATTATAATTTACAGTGCCACCCAGAATCGTACATTGATCTGTGCTGATCTTACTTTTGGAAGCAAACCTTCTTCACGATAGTGAGAGAGACGCATTTCTCTCTCTGGCCATTGTCAAAAAACGTTTTACTCGTATTATAGTTGATCACCTTCGTGATAGAGGAAAATATAAAGGAATGTATATTTGAGCCTCGATTACTTACAGACAGGATGAAATTTTTCACCCCCTTGTATAGGCAGGCCAATTGGCGTGCGAGCTCGCTAACGTTTGAATCAGCTAAATCACAACCCCGTTTCATCTGTAAACTACTTTATCTGCATCACTGACTGTCTGTTATTCATTGGCTGCTAGCAAGCTACCGGGTTGCTTGCGGCACGTACAACGGCTGAAAATCCGAGGACTACCAAACAGCGAAGGATGACAGAATACACTCGCCAATACCAGCAAGAGGCGATCATTCTCATCTTCCCCGATCCTCATCCATTCGCTTGACACCTCGTTGTAGCAGGCGAACACGTAAACCAAGTACGGCGGCCGGCGTTCTTCTACGCTGGGGATTTCTGAATCCGCTTTCCTCTAATAGCAATAGGTCAGGTAGCCTCGACCCAGCGCACGCAGCAGGTCCCTCTGCGATGATATATCAGTGGATAACGTATTTGCGTGCTAATCAGGTTGTGATCTAGGTTGGAACCCGCGCATGGGCACTCTTTGTTTCGTGCTAAGGGCCAGCCATTTAATGGGACGCCTAACTTGAAACATAGAGCCTACCCAGCGGACCATATATTTAGCCACACACAACCTTGTTTGAACCAAGTTGTATGCTGCCTAAAACAAGGCAGACGTGAACACCGACAAATAGTCATTCGATACTGTTCAAAACGAAGCGCTAGTTACACACAACTTAATAATAAACCTTTTGGAAAAAAATGATAGCAGCTACATAATGTGAAAGCAGTAACAGGCAGGATTTATGATGTTTTCCGGGTCGAGTAAAACTTTAGTAACTTTTAAACTGTATATAATAAAACAACCATGTTTGACATATTGCCTTATATTGTACCTTCACTAAAGGCAGCACTCTGGCGGTTTTGCGATACCATATAGCTGTGACGAGCATTTTCACTCTTAATATCGGTATCGAATCCTGATTCGAGGGAATCAACAGTACGTTAGGGCACATATAGCCCTCTTTATCCCCCTCTATGGTATAGAAGCAATCGAAGTTACATGGACTTAACTTAAATATGAAGACACTTTTTTCGTCTAATCTTCTTCTGGCGCATAGCCAGAGCTAAGCCATGTTACGCCGATCTGTTCCAGGCTGCTTTTTGTGGCAGTGGTTGCGCAAAGTGTGCTACGCTTGTCTTAATCTGCCATGGACCCGCTTTATGCAGAAGGGATTTTTGTTTGCTTTTTTCTTTCTTCACTGTGACCGTCACGATTTTGTGCTATGCGTTTGAAGAAATGCAATATTGAGCACATAGGTAGTGCATTGCCCATGCGTTTTTTTTGCTCGAAAGCTTCCGTGCTCAAAGCAACTGGTTCTCCTTCTGAAATGTTCAGGCCTAGTCCGTTCCTCTACGGTTTTTAATCCGCTAATTTCAGTTCTTAAAATGATTGCGCTGTATGATAAGAAACTGTGTCACTATGGGGCTTCTTGCTTTGCTCAGTATCCACACTAAGCCCTAGCTTCATGCTTTCTATGAGCTACGACTGATGATTATGACATGAAACCCAGTCAGCTTTTAGGACTACACCTATGTATCGAATTTGGCCACTAGTATCGCGTGGTTTGAAAGTTACCTAACATCTTCGATGCATTAAATATACCCGGACGAGCTAATAATGAGTCGACTTTTTGTATTTTGACCGATAAATGGATGAATCCTATCCAAAATGTCCATAGGACCCATATTACCATGTCAGCCAACTTTCAAACGATTATAGTTTTATAGATTGCTTTATTGAAAGGCTATTTTTATTTACATTGCATGTAGAAATGGGCCGAAGAGGAGTTCAGCTTGTCAATGTTGCTATTATTTGGTTGATTATGTATTGATAAGCCACTTATCCACATATTCGTTCCAGATCGAGCTAATCTGCGTTATGGTTTGTTAAGAACGCTGTACCCTTTAGCTATGGTGGCCTAAACAGATTTTGAAAGTGACCACGCGCTCGCTTCATGTCCCATACGCAAAAGTATGGCCTATTTGCAGGCGCATGACAACAGTAAGATGATTTTAACGTCGCTATCGTGAAACTGTATAAATAGACGTATATTATCACACTGACAACTTCAACATGATCATTTCCAATACGTAGAGTATAATAACAACAATAATAAATAGTATGAACTAGATAAACAATATAATTTTTAGAGCCGACATGCTTTCAAACGTTTTGTAACCGTAGTAGGTCAACGCATATTATTCAAAACTATTTGTATAAAAGCTAACTTAGCTAACTTCAATAAGCTTAAGAAGACAGTGTACAAATATATGACGTTAATAATTGTAATAATAATAATAAACATAACACATAGTGATACAGTTTATCATGGCGCAATTTCTCAATCGTTCTAACAAAAAGCGGGCTAATCCTCATTTAAACGAGCCCGCCACGTTACTGTTTCATGGCAATGTTCGGGAACCCTGTATCCTGGCACCGTTCATTAAATCAGCCGACCCTCATTCTGTGGTTATGCCCAATCACTTACTGGCATTGCTCTACATGTGTCTTATAAAGACGAAATCATAAAGAACACATACAATCTACGAACGTGTCCATCTTGGGCAGTATATTGCCCGTATGTTATCTGCATATATATGTTCTCTCAACTGGTAAATGCACGCGTGTTAATCTAACACGAAATTTAATAAAGGGCATCCATTAAAAAAGGATCCATCATAATTCGAATGCGAAGTCAACCAGTTCAACTTATATAGATGCTAAAGTCTGACTCCATATTACATTAGACTACCACTAGACGGTACCACCCGATGTTGGCGAACGCAGATGTAGAACTTCGCGCATGCCTACGTATGTGTTGTCTAGGCTGAAAAATTTATCGCCTGAGTAGTACGTTTGCATCTCCCATAATAGCTTCTCGCAGAACCTACCGACATCAGCATTCGGTCATAAAGACAATCTGCAGAACGTCTAAGAGCTAACGGTCATCCACTCTCAACTAAAACGTTCTTTACGAATCCAATTTAGTATTCGCAGAAATTTGCCACCGCTCAAATAACAACACCAAGAGAAAAAAAAAATGATAAAAAAAACAATAATAATCATTTGTGAGGCAGATACATTGCGGCTGATATTTTGCGTCACCCCGCTTCTCATTCTAGATAAGGGTTTGTTGACAAAAATTCGAACGCATTACCGATTGCCTGTTCGTTAGCTGACGTTATTTTCGTACCACCATACCGATATAACGTCTAAGTTGGTTTCCGTTCGAACACACACAAATGAACTATGCAAGCCATAACTAGAAAAGGCCCTGCTACTATGAACGTTTATCGCAACATTATCAACTAACCTCAATACATCAGCCTGTTTGACGGCCGGTTCGGTACGTAGGGCACTATAGATTTAGCTATGGCCCATTCACACCCATTATTCAGTGTCAGCGACCCAATAAACCCGACTAGTTTATCCTTTTGACAAAACCGTCGGCCACCGCATTTGAGCTTTTGCATTTCTGTCATGCTATCAATGGCAGAAATCTTAGGTGGAATAGACTGCGCAGAACACTGAAGTAGGCGTTAAACAGTGTCGAGATGGATCGATATGTAATAGGTGACGTCTTTTGTCTCCGTTTCTCTCTTCACCTGTGTAGAGGTAAATCAGACGAGCGCTATACTATAAAACATGATACTGTCGTATCGCTGGAATAACGCCATACGATTGAAACTGTGTCCCGCATACAGCGAAAATATCAGTAGATGCAGAACAAATCTCAACAGAAATTATAGCTCCTGTCTCCAGCCTCGTCGCTGTCTACCGATCATCACCGAATGGACAACGCGCAGGCGGCTTAGGGTAGAAAACCCTCGTGGGAGCATCAAGTGTGATCGTTGAGGGCTGACATCGCGACAGCCGTTGGTAGTGGCAATAAAGATTACCCAGCGCATGGGAAAATGAATCGGAGTTATCCTACTCGTTTAGTGGAGTGTAGATAGACGGACCGGCTCGCAAAATACCGGTAACAACCTATGCTGAAAATTCCTGTACTGGGAATTTACACTAGTGTGTACCTATTACTGTATTATACAGCACCGGTTGCTTGAAGTGCGCTCCTCCATTTCGCCCGCGCCCATCGGCATCGGTCCCATCTGCATCTAGTAATTTACTTATAGGTCAATGGAAACAAGGGGAAAATCGTTTGTTATTGTGCGTCAGCCCTTCGCTGATCGCAGAA